GTTCTAGTGCTTTAAATAGATATTAGCATTAGTTTATAAAGCACTGCTATAACAGTAAACATGCTCACAGGTTTTTAAACTTGCCGATTTTAAGGACACACAGCTGCAGCTTCAATACAAGGGGGTGGCCTTGATGCTGCCGCCTGCCAGACATCACTCACAGCTGCTGGAGAAACTCCTTTCTCTAAAGCTTGACCCAGTGCAAAAGCCTATAAGCCGGCAATTTCCCAGCATCTGTGAGAACTGTCCGAAGTGCAGTCAAGGCAGTGTTTCCTCAGCACGAAAGTAGGCTGACAAGTTAAAAGCGAAGGCATTGGACAAAAAGTTGAAACACTTGTCAGGGTGACACCCACAAAAAGAAACGATGAGAGGCATTCGACATGAAGGGGTGTAGGAAGATGCAATGTTGTACAATGCTGTTTGCCAAACAAATGGCCAGCACCTGAATGTTCCAGGTTTGAATAATTCCCCACTGACAGCCCACTTAGGCCACTTTTGTTCAACAAGGTCAATGACTTCAATGCTGTAGTGTAACTGCTTACCACAAAGGTCATTACACTGTGAAACACACAGGATTCAGAAACCTCCAAGTCTTACTTTTCCTGCAATATAAAAATCCTTAGCAAAACTACAATCACATGCATAAGATTGCTGTATTTTAGAGATTATCGGTTCAAAGGTTGTAAGGAATGACTGACCCCTCATTTCAAAGCAGTAGGGTTGCAATCCTTCTATGCCAAAATTCATTTAAGACTCCAACTGACACAGAAAATGTAGCTATAATAAAAAATTAACAGTTTCTTTAGTTTAAAAGCTTCCATACTGAATAGTTGTGGAAATCTATTTTTATATCTTGATGCTAACATTAATTCCACATATTGGGCATAGCTTGAAATAATCTGCGACATACCTCACCGTTCCTTAATACTACATTATAATCAGATGAAACAGTTAATGACTAAAAATTAGTAACCAACTCAAACAGTAACTAGTCATACTGCCATTAATTAAAAGTATAAAATCCAAACTGAACAGCATGCAAATTCACAACAGGCAAGGTTGGTACAGCTTAGTTTCTTCTTGTGTAAATATTTTAAAATCACCAAAAGCTAAACTCCTTCTACCAGTACCCTACTATTGTTACATGGTGCATTCTACACGGAGATATATGCAAATCAGGCCTGGGAATTTCACTGTTCTGAATTGAGAACTGGTTCCCTTTCTTTGCTGATATTTCAGTGCGATTTAAGCTGATACCTTGACATGCATCCAGCTGTAACACTTAAGACCATATTTAACAATGAAGAATTAACCCAGAAAAACCAGCCAAGCTGCTTATAACTCCTATAAGCTTTGATTTTGAATGATTTTCTGTTACCGACTGTACTGCATCATTAGGATGACCTCAGAAATGAATGATGTTTGTTCATTTGCGTTTAGCTGAAGAGTGAACATTGTCTGGTCAACAGCTTCACACATCTTGATTTTGAAGCTGTACTTCTGTACATTAGTCTTAATAACTGCCACCACATCCCTACTGCTGTATTCACAAATTGTTCTTCCATCTTTATTGTGAGAAACAGAATTGATACCACAATACATAATCTAAGGCAGCCAAGGTTTGTTTATTCAATGTTTTAGGAAAAGGCACAATTTATAGATGATCAGGCTGCATTCCATACCACAAGAAAACTCACCTCCTCAACCAAGTGGTGATGGAACCATGCACACTAACTCTAAATTTAACTGCACAGAACGTGGTCCAAAGCAACACACTGTTTTTCACTGTGGATCCTGTGCATAACTCATCAGACCAAGTTTCTACCCAAGTTGTGGTAAAGGCCAAAATGGTGTTTGTTATTCAATTTCAGACTATTTCAAAGTTGTGAATTCCTGTAGGAGTAGCTGGTGCATTCAGCCAAATGACCTCCAGTGCTTTACCTTTTTGCACTGTGAGCAAAAATCACCTTGAAGAAAGCCAAAAATGTGTTTTGGATAACACACATTAAAACCTTCTTTTTCAACAACCAATAAATCACACCTCAGGTTAAAACAAAAACAAATGTAGGAACAAGCAGTCTTAAAACATGGAAACACAGAAAAATTCATCGGTCATCCAAAATGAAGCATTGAAACAGTGAGCTTGAAGAGGAAATATCAATTTCACAGAGTTTTCTTAGTTAGCCTTTATTATACTTGCTGTGCACATCTTATTTATCAAGTTCATTATTCTGATGAAGACCAGATTTCATTTTAATGAACACCCACTTATCAAGCACAGCTCACCTGCCAACCCTATTCCCAAACCACCTGGTTATTTTACTTGAAAATCAGAGATTGAATAAAATAAATCACTGTAGGCCCCATCTTATTCAATAAGTCAGTGAGGTATGGAAAAGTGTAAGTGCTTCAGTAAGTGCTTTTTAGTCACAAGAAGGCAAGAGCTTTTATATGACTCTTCCTTTATAAAATGCTAGTGACTTATGCATTGTGACAGGCCTACAACAATCAACAGCATGATGCTGGAGACGGAGTAATTTTCTATTAACCTCCTATTAAAAGATCCGACTGTAAGAGATTATTTCAAATAGGAGAAAGGATAGTTCTTCATAAAAGCTCCTTTTTTATTAGGTGAAAATGCAATGTATTGTAGGCTTATTAAACCTACATTGAAAAACTACTGCTCATGAAACCTTTTATCGGCCAGGTTTCAAGTCACTACTGCTCTCCGACAGAGAAGAACAGAGGGAGAGGGATAGCATATCAGCATAAACCATACCAACACGAATGTCTAAAATTCAAAACCATTACTCCAAACTCGTGATCCTACTCAATTCAGCCATTTCCCAGTAATGCCCTACACTTTCAAAAGACTCCATATGGAACAGACAAATACATCATGTATGAGGACTTCCCACTGAAGGTCTAAATTTAAAACATCCCATGTTTGTCCACAGGTATATCCTGGCACAAGGTGTATTATTAAAGGGTTCAGAGATCTGTTTGGTTACTGAGACTGGGCTATGCAATGGCTCAATACATTCAGGACTGATTCAATCACTGCTTTAGGAAGGCAGCTATAATATTTCTTATGTTTCAGCAACACTTGGTTTTTCTTACTGTATGATCAGTACAGTACTGTAAACAGATTATAGGGTACAATCACAGGCCACAATCAACAAAAGGTTCAGACCCAATGATACAAACTCATTAGTGAGTCCAGAAATAATGATGTCTGAAGTTAACGCCATTAGTAAAGACTCCATCAAGGGCTAGTCTCACACAGCATGATTGGTATTAATCTTGTAACACCTAATGTTTATTCAGTTAATCTGATCTAGGACTAGAGCTAATCATGTTCCTGGTGAAACCAGATGCAAAAGGTGATCTTTTAGTTTTTCAGTTGTATAAGGGATTGGCATTAACATTTTCTAGATGATGTTGGAAGACAATAAAATGTGTAGAATGAAAATTCAGTTGTGGGAAAATGCATAACACATTAGAAAGACAATTCATGATATGCTGTACAATTTTGTACACCACATTACAAAAAGAGATGGATCTGGTATCTGTACCCTGCCACTCTTCTCTGTACTTTTTCGCACTCTTACAGGGCTAGATTGGCCAGATGACCTTTGTATATAACATTCTTTATGTTCCCGTATGTCTCAGCTGTTGAGGCACAATCCTCTTGTACTTTTCAACATTTAACAATTGACCAAATATCTCTGTCAGCCGAAAATGTCAAAAGGACCGATTTCCAGACCACAGGATTCAATTTAGAATTTTAGGAATTTAGATTTTCTATTTCACATTTCACCTTGCTAAGAAAGATATCCTAATGCAACATCACATGCTTTTGTGAACTTACATAAGTCAAGGAAAACTGGAGTAAGAGTCTGAAAAGCACTTTTGGGACATCCCAGTAAAGAACTTTAAGGAAGAATGAGAGTAGGGCGTCTTTTTCCTTTCAAGGTATTTGAGTGTTCAATAAGTAAACACAGAATAGAGAAACTTTAACCTTCAGAAATACAGATATTTTATAACCTAAAAAAATACTGCAGAGACAATGAGCACCTCCAGCAGGAGGTGTGGAAGTTTAAATACACACGACAGCACTCAGAGGTGATCAGATCAACCCGGCCTTTCCTCACCTACAACACAAAATTGGACAGATCGATACAGTATGTCCAAGCTGTTATGTTTAACACCGTCTGGCTAGTTACTGTATCAACTGCGAATCCCCACATAAATCGCCTGTACGCCTACAAAAATCTTTGCAGGAGTCACATCGCTGCAACCGTGCTCAGTAGCAAACACCTGCCTCTCCATTCAGGGTAAAAAAAACAACAAGAAATGTATTAAAACCCATCACCAACCCGCGCGAAACCAAGAGTATTAAGCAACTGACCAATACTGAAACTATGCTCATTACTAACGTCATGACATTATACCGGAAGCTGCTCTTTTTAGTAGTTTTACACTAGTTTTGCATATATCGGAGGTTGTTTACTTCATGCTACTAGCGTGGAAACCATGTTTTGTTTTTATAGGTTAGAAAAGCTTAATTTCATATTTGCAAAAGTCAATATAACTCAACGACTGTGATCAAAATCTTTCGGCGATGTTTTTCAAACATAAAGTAGGTTGTGAAACTGTATCAGCATGCAATACTCGAAACAAATGCAAGTTATCACATCAAGCGTTACAAGCCGTTTCCTTTTACAATACTATGTTACTTTAAGATGTAACCTGCCAAAACAACGCCGATCAGCCCTGCATTCCACGAATACCTTGCGTGCTTAATCTACCTGAAACTGGGTCATGAGGCTCGACTCCAGCTCCCAAACCAAGCTTAATATCAGAAGCCGACCGGGAACCTAACTCTAATTTACACATCCAGCAACACAATGTCGACGTTTATATATCAAAGACATATCGTGATTGCTCGTCTTGCATACGGCGCAAACAAGCTGTACTTTGCCTTTGCTGGTACCTACCTCTATCCCCGTGGGTTAAACCTAGGAATGCATGCACCAGAAAGGAAGGTTAAAACAGTGATATTTAGTAATGTTCAATTTAGTAACGTCTTCTTGTAGGAAACAGCACTGGATCACAGTATCGCCGCACTGCTTACAGTTCTCTACTTTATTTTTTTTACTGCTGTAATTGCCGAGCAGCACGATCAAGCCTTGCAGCTTCCTGTTATTAGGTAGAGAGCGCTTGTGTGGGTGGGGCTGATTCGACTGCGCGCATAAGAAAGCGTATACCCCCAGCTCGTTCAAGACGGCTGACTCTCTCAGACTGCACTGGAAGAGCTCCTCAACATAGTGGGCAGTTTTACAACAGCGAGAACCAAATCACGAGTGATTGCACAACAATAAGCTTGCGTGAAGTCCGCCCATGCTTTCATTCCTTAACAACTCAGTTTAAGTGACGCCTTAGGTGTACAACTTTGTTAACTTCATTCTTTTAAATAATCGTCTGAAACCGAGGTCTCTCCAGCCTTACTACCCGAATCTAGTCGATTAAATAGGTAATCATTATATCGCCAATTTATGTAAGTGAAATCTGATTATGATTAATTAAACACATAATTTGTTAAATCAAGTAATTATAAAATAATTTAGAACTATTTTGAGAATAAAATCTGCGTACCCTTCAGTCCCTTAGGACCAGAGTTATTTTAATTAAATGAATCAATTAATTTAATGCATCAATACTTCAGGAGTCGGATAGTTTATAAAATCAATAAAAGTGTTAGGCTTCTAAAGCAATATAGGTATAAAGTGTGTAGTGTAAATATATAGGAGTGGGTAAATAGGTAATATACAGTACACAAGAATGTCTATAATTATGAATTGCCTATAAGGCTAACTGGGTTGGGTCTTGAGAACAGGGTCCAAGAGCCTTGGTCTTTGCTAATACTGCAAACATATATTAGGCAGACTGCTGCTATTTTTTTTTCAGTTAAAGTTTTCAAGAACTCAGGATCTTCATAATGCTATCATGATCATCTAGAATGCTGTGCCTCTAAAGTCTTTATACCTGAATTACCCCCCCACCCACACCATGTTATCAAATAGGGAAAAAAAGTGTTATACTCTGCTGTTCAACTGTTCTATATATTTTTCTATTCTGTGTAAATATATTTCTTGAGACCAAAGATAGAAAAAAAATTGTTTTAAGCTTCCTGTTTTCCTGAAGGGAAATATAAGAATTGATAGACTGCTTCTATTAAAAAATCTATTCTGGAACCATACAGTATGTGTTGCACTGGAACTACAACTACAGTACATAGACAACAAGTCAATCTATTTCAGCAAGAACAAAAAACAACAGACACACCAGCAGTCAGGATTTAAATACTCCTGGTCTGCATAGTTGACCCTGAAACAGCCAAAGCAGTGGAATTAATAAAAGCATGTAACTTGTAAGCATGTAATGCTTTGTTAAAGTTTTTATTACAGATAGGCTTCTTTAAAAGCATTTCTCAACTAACAAAACAGGCAGAACCCCTATTTTTCAGAACCCCTTGGGGACCACTGTTACTGTAGATCTCCAAACATTGTATGTTATCCCCAGGCTACTAGTTGCCAACTACTGTTATAGAGTACCTACAGTATAGGTTTTGGAAATAAGGTAAATTATGGCATTCCTACTGTATATCACCTTTCATGTCTAAAGAAATCCTAAGAGTGAGCTATATAAACTCAACACAACTGTTCACAGTGAAACATTTTTTCAGGGGCTCAGACAAAATCTCAACCAGGAATCCCCTGGTTTAGAGTTGCTTATTATCAGCACATATGAACCCATCCATCTGTTTTCTAATGTGTTCTTCCAATTCAGGATCGTGAGGAAGCAGAACCTATCCCAGCAAGCAACTGGTGCGAGACAGGATACAACCTGAATGAGACACCAGTCTATTACAGGACAGACACATACTGTTGACACACATGTGAATCTGTTGGATTATTTTATTTAACAATTTGTAATGTTGTAGAGTTCTCAAAATGTGGAGTCTACTAAAACTTTGGCCTTATAGAAAGTATACACCTAAAATGGAAATATGTATGTAGTGTACGATACAATGGCTATACTGTATGTAACAATTTAAAGTATTCAGTGCCATGTACACTGGAATTTACATCTAAATATACGGTATAGTCTGTATCCTTACAACATCAAATATGTTATGAAATGTACAATACAGTATATGCATTCTTTACAATATATTGGATGCAAAAGTGCATACTGAAATATACAGTATTTATGCACAATATATGTAATCATTAGCATAAAATCCATATCTTTACTTTTCCATGGGGTGTTTAATGCTGGGTATTTCAAATATACTGTATTTTTATACAGGTTTGAGGGATACATTAAAGATTAGCAATTAAATGATTAATGAGAACCAGACTTATGTCTTAGCTAGACAGTATTCCTCAGAACCTGGATAATTGATTTTAATTTGTTAAAGTCATGATCCATTGCAGAAATTTATTGTTTTCTAGAGGTTCTTATAAAGCTTGTATTGTTTTACTAATATCTTTGGGTTTGTAATTGTTTTCATCACTTTACCCAGAGTTCAAGATTTATTTCATAGGAGGGAGATAAAAAAAAGTAACGGACAGATATTTGTATAACCACTTTTTTTAAAGTAGAGAATCTAAATGAAACCATAAAATGACTTGTTTTAATTGTAGGTAAAGTCATGGTTCTCTCACAGTGATCATTATTGCTCCTTCAGATCACTTTGGGCTCCAAATGTATTGAATACTGCAAAAGCTTTGCCATTAGCATGGTTTCTGAGGTGTCGCTGAAATGCCAGTATTTACAAATACCCGTTTTACAAAGTCTGACTCAGCCAGCAGACAGCAGCAGCTTGGTCTAATACACAACACATATGTCATTGCAGCTAAGATACACAGAGATCTTTAGACTTCGATGAGAGATACAGTATGTATGTTCTCGCAGACATGTGCAAAGACATCACAGGCTCATCATCAAGAAGACATGACGACTCCCTGTACACTGATAATCAAAAGCATCATTTAAAAATATGACGTATACTGTAGCTGCAAGAAATTGCTCAAGTTATTTTCACAGACATTTATCATGGAAATTTGTATATTTTTCTAAAAACATACATATATAAATTGAATTATATGTTTCTTTTTATGCCCAGTATGTAATTTATCTACTGACATTTAGTTTGTCTCATCATCAGAGCACTATTATTAAAATACCAAAAAAGAATTCACTAAACCCTGAGTAGCCTGTGACATCGTTGTAAAAAAAAAACTGAATGCACAATTTGAGATAAACCATATACATGTAACCTGAAAATATATTAGTTGTAACAACTTGTCTCTGTATTTATGGCTTTACATGTTTTTTTTAATAGAATTTCTAATTGACCTCTCTGCTGCAGTTAATCTTTTAACCAAAGAGCTGGTTATTCAGTGCATTAAAATAGCCACACAGACCAGGCACTCTGCTGATTAAAAAGGCTCGGAACAAAACATTTCCACATGTGGCTGTTCTGTTCTGTTGTCATTACGATAAGACCTCAGTGGCACAGCTGGAGCACGTACGTATATGATGTTCAGGGAAATAAATGAAAAATAGTTCATCTCCGAAAGAAACCCGGAGAGTGAATTTTCTGCATTTGTTAGGTATTTAAAGGTTGCTCAAATCCATTTACAAGAAGATCCGTAATAAAAGAATATCTTGATATCACACAGCAAAAACAGAGAATCATACTGTTCTCTAATGGCTTAGTTAAAAAAGGCTATGGAGCTAAGGCAGTGAATATGAAAATAGTTGTATGCAGGTACTGTATCTGCTCACAGTAGTAATTTTCAAATTAAGCTTTGGGAGACTTTTGACTCTCACCTCTGGGACAGAGAGAGCAAGAATTCTAGGGCAGATTATTTTTGCTTATATAAAGGCTTGGGTCTAAGGCTCTAAAGGGGCTCAGTCTATTTCAGTATCTCCTTAATAAATAAGCAGTTTGATAACAAGGGGATTAATTATTCCTCGAGTAATTAAGCAAACATTATTGTAGATCGGCCCAACATGCAGAGTGCTACTTTGCAGAAAGAGGACAACCTTTAAAAAATAAAGGTCTTTCAAAATTGTTTGTGACATTGAAATAGATATTCAAGAGGCTTGTTTAGAAACAATAGTCTTTGACTCTTTATCCTGTATTTTTTTATGCCAGGCAAATGTTTTCTGTTTGCATTATAAGAGAACAAAAACTGCATCTTAAACTTCACCTTTCATCTCAGCAGAGCCATGTGTTGACAGCAAAATTTGATTTAGTTAATCCACTAATATATATTTGTGTTCTATGACCCATAGTTATTGCATGTCGCAACAATTTTGTCTCAGGGGATATTTACATACTGATGTGAAATATATATTTTCCATCAGAGTGGTACTTAGTACACCTAGTGCTTACAGTTTGCACAAAAAGATTAAAGCTTTTCTTGAGCTTTTTAATTGGGTGCCGAATAAGTAAACAATCCTTGAAGAGAACTAAACCTTTCCATTTTTCTTTTATTTGTGAGCTTTATTGTTACTCATCAGCAAACGTGAGAAAGCCAAAAGCAGCATTTGGCTAGAAGAAATGAAGGAACAAATCAACAGAAGGCATCCTATTTATAAAACCTAAAGTTTGTTGTCCACATCGGAGGGAAGATTAAATACATACAGTATAAGAGCCCCTTTAGATGAAAAATAAGTTTCATTTGCCTGACGTACAATGAAACACTGTAGACTCTGAGCATGCAAGTCCAGCTTTATCCAGAAATTTATTATTCACTAATTGAAGCAAGGCACTTATTTTTAAAAGCAGAGATCACTGGTTTAATCAAATTACTGAACGCAGCTGTTTAACTGGTATGGTAAATTGAAAACATTGTAAAGCTCAGTATAGCACAGTGAATTCATTGGAAAAGCACAGAAAGGTCATATAATCCATGCCACTACTCATGGCACTGAACAAGCTTGGAAATCCTGAAAAATGAGTGTGCAAATTAAAAGAGGGAAACTGCCTTAAGGAATGATACAAACTACCAAATATGTTTTAAGTCCTTCATATCTACAGCATCTCTAGCAAGTTCTTAAAGGTACACCAGTCAAATTTTTATCTGAGGTAAGCTATTGATTCCAAGTTATAAAAACAGA